TTCAAGTACTTTATGGTACTAATTGACCAACGCGATGGTCACACTATGTTTGTTATCTACTCGCGGTGGTCACACTATGTTTGTATCTACTCGCAATCTAACTCTCGCTAGACTATTTGCACAAATAAATAAATTGCGAGTACAATTTCCAAATCACCCTATAAAGAAAATAAGTCTAGATAATGCTGGAGAGTATTCATCATATACATTTGATGATTATTGTATGTCAATTGCGATTACTGTAGAATATTTTGTTCCCCACGTACATACGCAAAATGGTCTGACAGAGTCCCTTATCAAAATATTGCAATTAATTGTTAGACCATTGTTAATGAGGTCAAAGCTTTCCGTATCAGTTTAGGGAAATACTATATTGCATGCACTAGCCCTCATAAAAATAACGCCGACAAGTTATCGTTGTTATTCTCCTACACAATAGGTATTTGGAAATTACCAAATATATCTCACCTAGGAATTTTTCGGTGTACCATTTATGTGTCAATCGCACACCCCAACGCACGAAAGAAGGTTGGGTATATATGTCGGGTATAAATCACCCTCGATTGCGAAATATCTTGAACCAACAATAGATGATTTATTTACTTTAACATTTGCGGACTGTCATTTTGATTAATCTCATTTTCCAACATTAGAGGAAGACAATAATCAACTGAAGAAATAAATAAATTGTGGAAAATACCACTTGACTTTCGTGATCCTCGTTTGAAACATAGTGAACTTGAAGTTCCAAGAATTGTGTATTTTCAGAAAATTGAAAATCAATTGTTTGATGTTTTTAATGATGCTACTAGAGTTACGAAACCATATATTGCAGTAGAAAATGCACCAGCTAAAATAAATATCTTATAAAGAAAAGTGTCAAATGCTAGTGAACATATTGCACGTCTAAAACGTGGCAGACCATTGGGTCCCAAGAATAAATCCACGAAAAAAAATAATTGTTAGTACTGGTAAAGAGATTAATAATGATTAGATACCTGAAAAGGCCAGTACAACCCCTGAAAATGTTGATACTAAAGATTCTGATGAAAGTGAGAATAAAGTCATTGAACCTTCTGTTAACTATACCACAGGTGGTAAATATTGCAACCAAAAGAAAAAAAATATTGATAATTCTTTTGCATATTCTGTAGCACTCGATATAATAAAAGATGATGAGGATTATAAACCAAAATCAGTTGAAAAATGTCGGAAAAATAGATGGTTGGGCAAAATAAAAAGACACAATTCAGTCTGAATTGGACTCATTGAATAAACGGCAAGTATTCGACCCCATAGTCCAAACACCTGAAAATATGAAACATATTAGCTAAAAATGAGTGTTTATGAAAAATAATAATAATAATAATAAAATCACAAGATATAAAGTAAGGCTTGTAGCCCAGGCGTAGTTATATCTCTTTTTTTTAAATTTCATTGCAAAAAACTTTTTTTTTTTTTTTTGTTATGAATGTCATATTTGTCGCCAAAGACCTTTACTAACGCGGTATAGGCAACAAAATGAGTTTCGTCGTAATTTTTTTTTTTGTTATGAATTCAATATATTTTGCTACAAAATCTTTTTGTAGCTAAATTACAATTTTTTTGTAGTGAGTTCTAAATATTCTACATTTTATAAACTTTTAAGTAACTTGTTCATAAGACTAGGGGAGGGGATCCTCGGCCCCAAACACTCCCTGCCATATTGTGCATCATTACACACCCATGTATAGATCATAGGCGGCTCTTATCAGAAGCAAGATGAGCAACTGTTCAGAGCCCTTAACAAAGTTTGTCAAAGGAAGATCATCTATGACAACATCCTTATGGCCACAAAAATGGTGCATGATCTTAACTAGTGGCACAAGCTTTATAATGTCATTTTCAAATTGGATATGAGCAAAGCCTATGCCATTTTTTTCATGCCATTCTACCACGGGACAAAAAATCAACAAGAGTAAAATTTTTGAGATCATTTTTATACGTTGCCCTTATGCCTCCAGAGCATATCTAGTCCAACTTACCGGATTCGGTATTGCTGAACTGACAATCATTTATTTAGGAGCTCCCCTCTTTGTAGGTAATAAGAGGATAATTCTTTTTGAAGGTTTGATTGGTAAGATCCTAAGAAAAATACTGAGTTGGGACCAAACATTTCACTCTCACGGTGGTAGGCTGGAACTTATCAAAATTGTCCTCGCATCTATGCAAATTTTCTTAATCCAGATATTGAATCCTATAAAGACCATAATGCATATTTTTGAACAGCTTCTTGCAAGATTCTTTTGGTGATCCTCTAACACCAGACACCGGCGACATGGGTTTCTTTGAGGAATATTTGTAGGCCTAAAGAAGAAGGAGGCCTTGGTTTAAGAAAATTTGAAGATGTCACTCAAGCCTTCTCTTTTAAAGTGTGGTGTGGAGACTGAGATAACATCAATCCTTATGGGCTCATATGATAGAATAAAAATATTAACGTGGGTATTTCCTATGATATTCTCAAGTTAAAAATCCACGATAGTGTGTGTTTGAAGAGAATATGTAAAATTTGACAAGCTGGGGAAGGAAGATGCTCCTTCTAGCATGACCACTGGTGTGGGGAACAACCCTTGGCTACCTTAGTCAATGGCAAAAAACCCCACATAGCTGTTCGAATTTTCTGGCAAAACAACCAATGGAATATCCCTCTCCTAATATCAATCGTTCCCAACTACTTGCTTGGCACTATTGTTACGGTCCCTATTAACTCCTCAGGTCCGGACATTCTTAGTTAGAAGCATGGTTCGCCATATCGGCCGAGTCTGGTCCGACTCGGCCGATCCAGAACCGGAACAGCCTGGGCCGTTCCGATTCCATTACCATATCCGATTTTTTCAATTTTTTTCTTTTTTGTTTTTTTTTTCTTTGTTTTTCTTTTTAGAAAGAACAAAATAAAGTGGGAAAATTTTTAAACGGTGGAATGAGAAGAATAAAAAGGCTGATCTACCGAAAAAGTGGGAGGAAGAAGAAGAAATAGGGTGTGTTAGGGAAACAGAAACCGGTTTTGGGAGGGATACGATTAGAGAAGATGAAGTGGGAGGGAGAGATTTTATATTAAATTAAATTTTAAAGTAGTAGTATTACAAAAATTAAGAATAATTCAAATTATAACTGAATTTAATTATTTAAATTTAAATTTTATAAAATTAATTATATTTAATTATTTTAATTACTTATTATCAATTATAATTAAAAAATATAAAATTTTATATTAAAAATTTTGACCGATATTTGACCGATACATCGAGACAATACGCCACGACGTATCTGGAATGGTGAAGGCCGATCCGCAACGGCGAACCATGGTCGGAAGGATTCTGCAACGGGATCCTTTTCTATTCAATCTATTTGAAATAGCATTCGTAGATCCTATCCTAGGAGTTTGTTATTCGGTCAAATTTGGTCTCATTGTTTAACTTCCAAATGTCAATGTTGTCGAGAAGTTGAGTCGGAGGAGAACCGTTTCACAGCACGGGCACAATCTTTAAAGGTTTGGAGGTACTTCTATCTATCGTCTTCTTAGAATCATACCTACTAATACATTCATCAGCTTTTTTTTTATTGGAAGATTTCGACTACACGCTACGAACACACATGGTTCATACTAGAGCTATCATGCCTATACTGATCATTTGGTTCACCTGGATCGAATGAAATTACACAAAATATCATGATACTAACTTCTCATGTAACAGCATTACCGCGAAAGTGTTACACCATGTAAAGATCCTTCAAAGTGCCAAGAAATGGAAAAGGGAACGCTGGCGTGGAGATCTTCTTACTGTTGTTTAACTTAAAATCCCACAAGTTGTTGCCCATTCTAGGCCTCTGGTCTAGGCTAGGCCTCCCCAGACGGTCATTTGGCTGAAAACCAGTTCTGGATGGTTCAAGCTTAATACCACCGATGGCGCCTCGCGAGGGAATCCAGGAGTGGCATGTGGCTTCATCAGAGATCATAATGGCTGTCCCCTCTCACCTTCCAAGAGCCCCTCATCCATACTATCAATACATATGTGGAAATCCATGCGATTTTCCAAGGACTGGAGTTGGTGCTGGCTAAAGATCTTAAACTGATCTGGATTGAAACGGATTCAGCAGCCTGCATCAGCCTTATCCAAATGAGTGAGCAACAAGGTGGCAAGTGGAATTTCCAATATGTCATTTCCAAAATCAAACCCTGAATGACAAGTCTCTCACATCTTTCGAGAAGGTAATCGGAAGACTGGCTTGCGAGTAATGCCTGTGAAACTGGTTCCCTCTGTGTTATCGAATCCCAACAGATTTCGGGTTAGCTTTTCAGGATTGAATTGCCAACCATTCGATTCCATAAAAATGGCTTTGACCCAACATGTTTAATGTTACCCAGTTGTTTCCTCCTCGAATGCATGTTTTTGTTATTGGTTTATTGTTATTTGGCTCTTTTATAATAGGATGCCAATGGAATGGATCCGTGCCATGCATTTCAGAATTAGGGTTCCGTGACATCAGGTATTTGGCTTGGCTTCTCCTCGTGCTCTTCTATTTTGATGTTCATGGCCTTTGAGAAAAGTTGGGTGTGGAATACTGGTGATGGCGCTAAGCTTCATCTTCATGTTATCGTCATGCTTGGTGGAGCCTATTGTCTTTTAAATTTAGTATGTAAATATTGTTCTATTTCGATCGGATTCTTTGGGTCTGTAAATGTTGCTAGTTGAGCGAATAGGCCCTTTTTTATTTTTGATCGTTAGCCCTCCATTGGACAGTGTTTTGGGCTTTCTTTTATTATTGGTTGACCCAATTTCAATCTGGGCTCATAAAATTCAGATTGCTTGACCTTTTGGGCTGGCTTCATTGATGTTGGCTTTGGGCCTTTTGGCCTTGTACGGTGGATATAATTCATCCTTTATTTTCATTATCAACATAATTTAATATTAAAAAAAAAAAAAAACTAATTGCAAAAAATGAAAATATACACAATTTGCCCGATTCAATTCACAACCGATCAGATCAGTGTCCGTCCGGCCTCTGATTAAGAGAAGTCAATATTCACATGTTCGGGGCACTTTTTCATTTCTTCTTCTTGAGTTTTCTTCTGGACAATCTGCAGGGTACCTTCTGCTCTCAATATAAACAAAGAATTCTCGTTCAAACTCACCCAGCCAGGGGAAGACTTTTGGAAGGGAATTCAAGAAAAAGCAGAGATGTTGGAGAAAATAGGGTTGCCTCCAAAGCCATCACTGAGAGGTAACAGTTGGGTAGTCGATGCCTCTCATTGCCAAGGATGTGCCTCCCAGTTTACTTTCATTAATCGCAAGGTCTGTCGATCTTGCTCACCCTCTTTTAAGTTTAGGTTGTGATCTCTGTTTATCTTGCCTGTAGACTGTTTGTAAGTTTTCACATAGGTCAGAGTCTACGCATTTTTATTGTTCTTACATTTTTATTTTTATTTTGTTTCTTTGAAACCCGAGGATTATGATTTTTTATGTCTTCAATTGGATGTCCCCGCGTCCTTAATAATTTTTAGGATCCATGGTTTGAGAGTTTTGATCTTGTCAGTTGAAAGTGGTAGTCTGCCAATGCCAATTATTGGTTCTTGGGTTAAATATGTGCATGTTGTTGTTTGTATCATCGATGCCTTTGTAAAAGTTGTATGGAATATTTTGGGTTCAAATATATGTATATATATGTGTATATATATATATATCTGCAGTCTTCATTGTTATGTTGTTGGCAATTGCTGGTGGGTTTTGTACTCATATGTCTGGGAAGTTTCCTGGTTTGAAGATTCATGGTTCTAGCTTTTGGGCTTCAAATGTTCGAGACTTTAGGTACAATAGTCAGTGGCTTTGAGGATTATTGTGCAAATACATGCCTTCAATTAGGCAAAAACTTCCTAGTTTATTACATTCATATGAGACTACTTCTTTAACTGTTTTACAACTTAGCTATGTTGGTGTGTGATCCGTGAATGCTGTGTAATGTCTGCTATTCAAAGCAGGGATATAAATGGTTTTAATGCTCAAAAGAACACTTATCTTGCCGTGGAATGAAAGAAAGTTTACAATTCCTTGGTCTTTAACTAATGCTAACCCTTCCTATGTATGCTAATACACCTTAACTGTGCATAAATTTTTGGCGGTATAACATATATGTATTCTTCAGTATAGAGATATTTGAGACATTCATGAAAACTCGAGAGCGTTCTAAAGATATGCAGATCTATGTACATTTCCCTACAATATTGTACAGAATACATACAAGCTCTAATTGGAATGATTGAACCTTCACACATGAAGGGTTAAGTCGTTGGTGACTTGTGGGCATGAATATGGTCTTTTGATGGCTGCATCGTGGAGTGGAGAATGGGTGAGAGTAATCAAATATGTTAATCTAGATTACATTAGGATGCATACAACACATGCAGCTCAGAAAACAAAAGTTCAAACAAAAGATCATCAGAAGACAAGCTTGGGAAAAGATCTCTGTTTCTCATTATATGTACTACATATTCACTAGTATTTTTCTCATGTGTTACAAAAGTGATAAAGTTAACTAGAAATCTATAACGTTAGGAGCCCAACATGGAAGCATTATGCCTTCCATCAGTTTATTCTCAAAACAGCTGTTTTCTGACTCTCACAGCCATTGTCAGCTCTTATGTGTGATTAAAAACATCAAGAAGCCTTTAACGTGTGTGCCAGTGTGTGAGTGCGTCTTATATACAATTCTTATTCAAAATTTTGTGGTACTTTCTGGCGTTGGTGTGGTGTTCCCTCAGCTAACTTATTTAGTGTTGGTAAAATTCATGTTACATATTTATTATTTGGTTCTATTATTTTATTAGTTTTTAATTATTGGCCTTAGCTTTAAATTTGTTTGCTTTTTGGAAGAACATAATGGTCATTTTTGAAGCTGAACTCATACTGCCAAGTTTCATGCGATGAATTTCCAGCACCACTGCCGCAGGTGTGGAGGGATATTTTGTGGCGTCTGCACCCAGCAAAGAATGGTCTTACGTGGACAAGGGGACTCACCCGTGCGCATTTGTGATCCCTGCAAAAAGTTAGAAGAGGCATCACGTTTTGAGCTGCGGCATGGTTCTAAAAATAGAGCTGTGAAAGGTACATAATCAGAGATCTTCCTTTTGCTCGAGGTTGGACTTTTGGTTCTTGGGACATTTGAGATATTGAATTACTTGTATGGGTTTGTGTTGCCCTGCCATTATGTTCTTTGGAGCGACTTAGTTGGTTTGAGTGTGCTGATGGATTATATATTCAAAATTTAAAATTGAATTCTGAGAATGATATCTTCACTCTTTGTTTAAACCATGAGTCTAGGCCAAAATGTTGGATAACATGTAGCTTTAATCAGTCCCAGAAAAGGATTAAGTCCCTTATGGCTGGATTTTGATATTTCTCTTAGGTGGTATGTAGATATGATATCGGAGCAAGTGGCTCATTTTTCAGCAGTTTATGTAGTACTTTTGGAAGAAAATTGACATGCAAAAAGATAATGGAAAGAATCAAGGAGTTTGAGAATTTGAGCGCATTGTCATTAGTTAAAGAAAGAAAAGATTTGAGCCTATTTATTGCTTATGTAATAATGTCATCTCCACTAATTTTTTATGTCTTCTCTTTTACACATCCAAAAGAGATACTGAAAAAAAAAAAAAGAACCTTAGATTTATGGTAAAATTGCTTGTCTTACTTTTCTGTAACAGACACAGTACTCGTGGCAGCAGTTTATTTTCAACCATTGCAAAGCAATGTGTAATTGAAGAAGGGATTTATACATTGAACACCATTATATTTAGAGGTTGGTTTGCTGGGCTTGCAGCCTATATCATTCACTGAGGAATAAACATAAACAATAATCAAGACTGCAATGTTAGCAATGTCACGGAGTATCTGAGTTGATGTATTATTTGTGTTTGAAACAGAATATGTTTAATAATTAATTATAATGACCAATCTTCTTTAGGACGAAGAAACAAGCAGAAGAACTTAATCGCTTTCCTTCTATGTGTGTGTGTATATAAACATTTTCTTTAAAATTATGAAATTATGTATACTTATTTCAGCATGTCGTAATTGTATGATGCGTGTGTAATATGTAGTCAGGCAGAGTGCAATTTTGCAATCCTTTGTCAGCTTATTAATCAAATAAAGATGTAGTGTTGCATAGGTTCTTATTCAACCTAATATTATGGTTTGGAAAACATCAACTCCATCCTTAGCATGTCATATTGTAATGTATTTGGATATTGCTAGGTGCCACAAGTATCAGAGCATAAAGCAACACAAGATTTATGATTCTGATTTTGTTTGGAGAAAACATTTCCCATCTTACTGCATCCAGAGCTTTTTGTAGGTGGTTCCAAGCTTGCTTCAACGGGAGAGGATGACATTGAAGCCAAACATTCGTCTAAACAAGTATCAGGCAGTGCATCAAGTTCTAATATTCGCCAAGCAGTTGGTCAGCTTGAAGGGGGTGATACTGTCAGAAACTTCTCCCTTGACCAGTCAATTAATTTGTCAGACAACAGAGAATCTGCTGCTCCTGAGGAGTTGCGTGAACAAGCCTTGCTTGAAAAGCAAAAATACAAAACGTTAAAAGCTGAAGGGAAATCTGAAGAAGCCCTTAAAGCTTTCAAAAGGGGAAAAGATCTTGAGAGGCGGGCTAGTGCTTTGGAGATATCTCTAAGGAAAAACCGCAAAAAAGCTTTGTCTACCAGTAACTTGGATGATGCTCAGCAGGCTGACAATCAGTTCAGAGCATCTTCCAAGAAAAACAAGCTCTCCACCGAAAAGAGTAAAGAAAAGGATGATCTTTCAGCTGAACTAAAAGAATTGGGATGGTCAGATGTAGATCTTCATGATGCTGAGAAAAAGCCAGCAATCCTGACTGTAGAGGGTGAGCTTTCTTCGCTTCTTAGAGAGGTCTCCCAAAAGCCTGCTATAGAAAAGCAATCTACCAACAGTGATAGATCCCAGGTACTTGCTCATAAGAAAAAAGCTCTTGAACTGAAGCGAGCGGGGAACCTTAATGATGCCAAGGAAGAACTAAAACGAGCTAAAATTCTCGAGAGAAAAATAGAGGAGGAAGAACTTTTGGGTGGCGCTGATGATTCTGATGATGAACTATCTTCACTGATGCGGAGTTTGGAGTCTGATGAACACAATGATTTGTCATCTAAATATAATTCTGATATTAGTTTTGATTTCACTCAAGCTTTTGGTGCTGCTGATGATCTTGGTGCTGATGGAAATTTTGAAGTAACGAATGAGGACATGGAAGATCCAGAAATAGCATCTGCTCTCAAATCATTAGGCTGGGATGAAGATGAGCCTGATTCTGAGGATATTCATGGCCCTATCTCATCTTCCAGCCGAGAATCATTATTAAATGAGATTCAACGTTTGAAAAGGGAGGCTGTAAATCAGAAAAGGGCAGGCAATACTTCTGAAGCAATGACGCTGCTAAGGAAGGCGAAAGGTCTAGAAATGGAAGTTTCTAGTTCTGATACACAAAATTCTGATTTTGGAGTTAAGGATTCTACTACAGTCCAGCAAACAGTATTTGCTCAACCAACGGCTTCAAAGAGTAAGTTGACAATCCAGTCTGAACTTATTGCGATGAAAAAGAAGGCTCTAACTCTCAGAAGGGAGGGTCGTTTGGATGAGTCTCAAGAAGAATTGAGAAAAGCTAAGGTTCTTGAACAGCAACTTGAAGAAATGAATGAAGCTCCTGTGCTTGCACAGCCAAGTTCTCACATTGGGCACACTGCCACCTCTGCTGTGCCTGCAATTGATGGGGATGAACAAGAGGAAGTAACCGATCGGGATTTGAACGATCCAACTTATCTCTCTCTGTTGAAGAACTTAGGGTGGGAGGACGAGGACAACGCAAAAAACTCAGCTTCTGTGTTTAAAGAAACGAAGTCTAAGGAAAATACTAATTCCTTTGTTTCACAGTCTACTTCAAAGATAGGAGCTAGAACATCTAAAAGTAGGTCCGAAATTCAGAGGGAACTATTAATGTTGAAGAGAAAGGCACTCACACTGAGACGCCAAGGAGAGGTTGAGGCTGCTGATGAAGTGCTTAAAGATGCTAGAGTGTTGGAGATGCAGTTGCAAGAGTATGATGAACCAACAGAAAGGCCCGTTCCTTCTGAAAGTAGTGCAATAAAAAATGCATCCATAGATGATGCTCCACAGCATTCTAAGTCTTCTGTTCAGAAGAATATAGATGAGGTTGGAATTGAAGATCCACATAATCAAGAGACTGGAAGATTTGAATCTGAAGTGCCATTACTTGGGAAAGAAATTTCAAATGCTCATGACCTGAGCTCTTCTCCAACTGCTGATTTTCATCGAGAACACCCGGTTGACAAGAAATTGGATGATCAGGAGTTGAACTCTTCTCAAGCAATGGATTCTAGTTCTCCTCAACAGCAAATCCTGGCTCACAAGAGGAAAGCTCTCTCCTTGAAAAGAGAAGGAAAACTGGGAGAAGCCAAGGAAGAACTTCGGCTGGCGAAGCTCTTGGAGAAGCGAGTGAAAGAGGAGACGCAGACTCAGAGTAGCACTAACTCTGGTTCTGATGCATCTTCCTCAGACAAAAAGGAGGTGAGTCCTAGTTCCAAACCATTATCTAGTCGTGAGAGGTTTAAACTGCAGCAGGAGTCCCTTGCTCACAAGCGCCAGGCATTGAAGCTTAGAAGAGAAGGTAAGACAGCAGAAGCTGATGCCGAGTTCGAACTGGCAAAAGCAATAGAAGCCCAGCTGCAAGAAGTGGATCAGGATTCTTCTGGGCCTTCTGATGATGTTAGAGTTGAGGATTTCCTCGATCCTCAACTTATGTCTGCTTTGCAATCCATTGGAATAGAAGATTTACGTACCTCTGCTCAAAGCACAAAAAGCCCAGAGCCAGCCAAAGCAAATGCTGATGCTGAAGTAGACATTGAGAAAAAGCAGTTATCAGATCGAATCAAAGCTGAGAAGCAAAAGGCAGTGAACTTGAAACATTCTGGAAAGCAAGCTGAGGCCTTGAATGCTCTGCGAAAGGCCAAGCTTTATGAAAAGAAGCTTCAGTCCTTGAACTGAAACTGATCAACATTCCTTTTAAGGCTACAAATAGTCAGGTATGGCGAAGTATGTTTGATATTTAGTCCAAGGCTTTGAGATTATGTTTACAGGATATCATTGAGCTGAGCTTCCAACCTTTAAATGATGTGTGATTATTTATCACCCGTAGTAGTATTAATTAACTAAAACTCCTCTATTCAAATAAAATTTCTGGATTTGGTTTCTTTTATCCTCTAAAACTATAACGATGGATCTATTTATTTGAATGATTCTTATTGTTGTGATCGATTGCGACATGATTGGTTTTTTGTTGGCTCAAGACAATGATTGGGGGAGCAGTAAGACTTTAAATGATCCTGTTGGAAAGGTATGTCGTCTATCATTATATTTATGCACTATATTTATGCACGCGTGCATGATGTTAAGTGTAGTACTACTACCTTATGCCTTGTTGACATTTACTAAATTTCTTAGTGGAAATGATTGAAGCCGGCCCTCAACATATATGTCATTCATTGTTGTATATCATGTTTGATGTATGTAGCAGCGAAGAAACTGGTGGGTGGTTGTAATATCCAAGTTTTAGAAGAAAGCATCAGCCAAGAGGAAGATGAATGTAGTAGTAGTATGAGTAGGAATCCTGATCCCATCCCATCCCAACATTAGTAGTAGGAGAAATTTTCGGATCGGATCGGAGTAGTAAACGAAACCCAAAGCTCAGTGAAAACTAGTGTACTGTTCTTTAAACCTTCACCAAGATTACTCCACCTGGCAATTGAGGAGGAGGGTTCGAATCTAAATATTATGTCTCAGAGCGGATTATGAATTTTAAGTCTAACTAAATTTGGTGTAGATTATGAGTTTTACTAAAACCTTATTTATCTCGAACTTGGATCCGCATTCTTTATAATTACTTAATGGAAAATAAATTATTTTTGTTTCAATATAATTAAAATTAATCATATTTGGTATCAATATAAAAATTACTCCCTTCGTCCACCTAGAAAGTATACATGTTTCTATTTTGGGAGTCCAATTACAAAGTAAACATTTCATTAAATACGTTACTTTTTTTTACAAATACCCTTGCTTTACATCACATCATTAGTTTTACACCAAAAAGCAAGGGTAAAAATGTCATTACACTACTTTTAACTATCTACTATAATTAAAATACTATTAATTCTTAAACACCGCGCCAAAAGTAATTGTATACTTTTTTTGTGGACGAAGGGAGTATTAATTTTGGTCTCAATCTAATTAACTTCAGTCGTACGGTTAAAAAAAACTAACGGAAATACTGAATGTGAATATAAGAGAACTTAACAGAACTAATGTGACATACTAAATAAATCAGAAATTGCACTGCCATGTTAAAACGCGGCCGTGTACAAAATTAATCAGCTCTCATCATTATTATTGTTCGGCTGCTCAGTACAAAATTATTAATTTATTTGCTTGGGATAAGTTTTTTTTAAAAAAATAAAATAATATCAATTTAATTAGTATTTTGTTTTTAAAAAGTAATACGTTAATTTTTTTTAATAATAAAGATATTATTTAATCTTTATGCATTTTTATAAAATTATATTTCGTCCGTATATTTATGGAATATTGATCGGACATCAATTTTAAAAAATAAAAAATTATAGTAAAAAAGTAGAAAAATATTATTTTTACTAAAATAACAAGAATATAACAAGAATATTTTTTTTTTTTTATGAAAATAATAAAATAGGTATAAATTCAAATAATAGAAGAATATTAATATTTTTATAAAATATTATAGTATTTAATATATTTTTTAAATTAAAGCAAAATTTTAAAAAATAACAATAATAAGTCCACTTCTGCCTACATCTGTATTATTTTTATTTATTTATTAGAATAATAATTATTTTAAAATTTATTTATTTATTCATTTTTCATGGGTATGTGTCAGACTGAAAAAAAAAAAAAGAAAAAAAAGGCTGCTAATCAAAATTTCTGTACAATTAAATTATTATCATATTGTACAAGGTGGTATTGGTTATTTGAGTTATTTGATTTTATTGTTTTAATGAACACAACAGATTAAAACAACAGTATTCTTTGGTCCTAATGTTATGTTCACATTAGCGGGTTCATGTTAGGTTTTTAAACGATAGAACGAATATTAATTGAAATTAATTATATTATGATAAAATTGATTAATTTTAATTATATTACAATCAAATTTTAATTTTTCTCTTACTTGAATTAATATATATATTTTTATATATAAAATTATATATTTTTAAATTTGAGGATTGAAACAGTAATTTTTAATCTTAATCCATAAAATCAGTAAATTATTATTATTATTTTTTTTCACACATCCGATTATGCATATTTATTATTTTTATATTTTCTACACAATTTTATATATTTTACGTAAAAAATTTCTATTTTTCAAAAATCTCACGAAACAAACACACTGCCATTGTTTTTTGTTTCCTCCACCACTCCGCCAGTGCATCGTTAACACATTTTGTGCTTCTTAATTTTTTTAAGAATTAGATTATTAAAAAAATAATACTCCTTATAGTTTATTAAGAAAAGAAAAGAAAAATCAATAATAATTAGAAAAAAAGAAAGAAGCGTGTTACACAAGTAAGTAAATGTATTAAATTATGCAATTAAAAAAAAAAATAATCTCTTTTTTATTTTTAATAAAAAAATCAATAATTATTACAAAAAGAGAAAGAAGCGTATTACACAAGAAAGTAAATTAGACTATGCAATAAAAGAATTTATTTTTTCAAAACAATAGATTTTTTTTTCAGTTTTAAAATAATAATCTAATTTTATAAATAAACACTATAAAATTACTTTTAATTTATTATTATTATTATTACATGAATACTATTAATTTTTATACAAATACATTTAAAAAATATTTTAGTATTTTATTATCTATTTTATACGTACTTTCAATATTATATTATTCGTGTTAAACCAAATAAGATTATTATCTAGAAACAAAGGGTGAGAATGATTTTTTTTTGTTTTACCATTTATTTTATTATTATGACTACCTTATATATTTTACAATAATAAAATTTTATTTTAAAATTTAAATTCAAAACTTCAAATTTTATGAATAGTACAAATTTTCCAAGGATTTTTATGACTTAGATTTTTTATTTTTATTTTTATTATTTTATGCTCCCCTCCATCCTTAACAATCTATCTATTTTTCTATTTTGATTTGGTATCCATTTTTTTTTAAGTAATTGTACTGTCTACCTTACATTACAAATATCATTCCAATTTACAATATATCACACAAATGACGTTACCTTCATATCATACAATACTAATAAAAGTAATCTAGTCCTTTTATCTTTGTTTCTACTATATATTTCAATATAATAGTAATATTTTTAAAATTATGTGAAAAAAACAAATAGATATGAGATAGAGAGAGTTAAATTTTTTAATTATTTCAATGTTTGCCCAATTTTCTGATGTGCATATGTCTTATTTAAATTTTACTTCTTAATAGTAAATATTATCATAATTCATAAAATATACTCCCGTTGTTTGACAACAATAGTTATATTTGCTTTTATATAGATATTAAAAATATTTTATTTTAATAATAGTTGTTGGTATTTTGGGTTAAATGATGAATTTATCATTATGATTTTATTTGTAAAGAATGATATTGAGAAAATTATAATAAATATTTCATATATACGACAAATTATCACTATTGTCTTTTAATTGTCACATTGATAAAATATATCTCACAATTTTTTTCGCGATTTTTGTCATATGACCGTGCGTCCAAGTGTACAACCGATACAATCTCACGTGCACATAGTATGATTGTGCTACGGAGGAAAAAAATTGTAAAAAAAAAGTGACAAACTGTGAGACATATTTTGTCAGAGTGAATATTAAAGACAAGAGTGATAACTGTTTGTTTATGATCCTAAAACGTCTAAATGATAAAAAATATATATATATATAAATTCATTTTATACTCGAAATTTGAGAATTCACACGGTTCATTTGAAATAACCAAACAAACCAACCATCGGTATTATTTTGTCCATTTAATGTCATTTAGGGACCTAAAAGCCCTAAACATTAAAAAATATAAACCCATTAGACTCAAAATTACATGAAATGTACACAGTTAATCTGAAATGATCAAACGGACCAACAAATGATATTCTTTTGTCCATCCGAAGTCATTTATGGTCACAAAAACCCTAAAATTAAAAAAAAAAAAAAATATACACCAATTCTCAAATCTAGAATTTACAAAACTCGCTTGGTTAATCTAAAACGGTCAAACAAATCAACCAGTAACATTGTTTTATCAATCCGAAGTTATTTAGGGCCCTAAAAATTGTAAACACTAAAAAAGAAAATGTAAAACTATTTTTAAACTTGGAATTGGAGGAAATCCACACGTTTCATCCAAAACAACCAAACAAACCAATAAGTGATATTGTTTTGTCCATCTAAAGTCATTTATGACCCTAAAAATCCTAAATGCAAATAAATGTAAACTCATTTTTAGAATCAATTGAACAGAACTTGCACGATTCATCTGAAACGATCAAACAAACCGGTCAAAAATATTTTCTTGTCAATATAAAGTCATTTTGCCCCCCCAAAAATCCTAAACGCTAAAAAATATAAATCAATTTTTAGATAAGGAATTAAACGAAATTCACTCGGTTCATCCAAATGAGCATAGGAACTAACTAGCAAATTTTTTTGTTAATTCAAAGTTGTTTAGTGCCCCAAAAGCCAAAACGTTAAAAATAAATAAACTAATTTTTAGATTCGGAATTGGACAATTATCAATCTTGCTTTTAATTATCACACTAGCAAAATATATCAAACATGTGTTACTTTTCGAAATTTTTGTCCTCTAGCCGCGCGTTAAGTTAATGACAGTGTAGGTGCGAGTGGAATAGTGCTACGGAGAACAAAAATTGCGAAAAAGTGAAACATGTCGGATATATTTTGCTAGTGTGACAATTAAAGAATAAGAGTGATAATTGATTGTAGGTACGAAATATTTATTGCAATTTCCCCGAATGATATTTATGTAAATAAATATAATTGAAAAGATATTTGTAATAATAGTGGAATATGTAGTTTAAATAAGG